AACTCAGAGAGACTGGAGCAGCATGCACAAGACCCACACATTCCAAACCAGATAAATTACCAGTACTGAGAAGGGGAAGTTGGCACAAAATCCCACCTCTAACTAAGAAGCTATTTGATTTTGGTACTTTCTGGGAAATGGGAAATCAGTTTTTCTCAATGGACGATAACTAGGTATATCAACCACGCTCCAGGGCAGACTCCATGCTCAGGAATAAATGGTCAATTCAAAATAGAGTGGATGTTGTTTGTTTGCTTGATTGTTTTTTTTTGTGGGGGGGTTGATTTTTTTTTTTGTCTTATTGGTGTTTGAGCAAATGAAAGAGAATGTGAGGGAGAGAGCTGAGGTTGGATGAGTGGAGAAGTCAAGGAGATAAGGAAGGAGATGGGGATGGAGATAAAACTTGATCAAAATATATTTTAATCTGGGTGTGGTGGCACACACCTTTAATCTCAGCACTCAGGAGGCAGAGGCTGCCTGATCTCTGTGAGTTTGAGGCCAACCTGGTCTACAAAGCAAGTTCTAGGACAGCCAGGACTGTTACAGAGAGAAACCCTGCCTCTATATATGTGTGTGTGTATGTGTGTGTGTGTGTGTGTGTGTGTGTGTGTGTGTGTGTGTGTGTGTGTATGTAATACATATATGTTTTAAAATGTTTAAATAAAGATAAAATGGATATTAAAGGAGTAAAATACAATGTACAACACCAAGATTAACCTCTAAACTGTATTGTTAACTTTGCTGCTAATAATAGTCCATCGTAGGACTATAGGACTCTCCTTTGCCTTAAATGTGTCTCTCCCAGGAAAACTATCAAACGTTGAACTTCTGTCTTAGGTATTCTTTTGCTGCAAAGAGATACCATGACTATGGCAATTCCTATAAAGGAAAGCATTTAAGTGGGGCTTGCTTAAAGTTTCAGAGTCTTAGTCTACTATCATCAAGGCAAGGAAAATGGTTGGCCATATTCAGGAAGTCATATTGCTGGAGAAGAAGCTGAAGAGTTTTATATCCTGATCTTCACTCCAACAGCAAGCAGAAAGAGACACACTGAGCCTACTGTATGCTTTTGAAATCTCAAAGCCCACATACAGTGACACACCTACTCTAACAAGGCCACATTTCCTCCAGTAAGGCCACACCTCTTCCTCTAACAAGGCCACACCTCCTAGTCCTATTCAATCTTCCAACTGTAGGCTAGTCATTCAACTAGCCAATGAACCAATGAACCAATGGGACCATTCTCATTCAAACCACCACAGTTGTGGAGGGCGCTGTGGGTGAGAATGCAGCAACATTCTTTCCACTTCATTTTGCTGTTAATTTAAAGTTTCTCTAGAAATAAAACTTACTGCTAAAAATAAAATTAAGAAGATTTGAAAAATTAATTTTTCATGTAACTATCAAGCAGTTTATGTAGTATGTAAACCTGACTGTAACATGCTTAAAACAATGCTCTCTTCAACAAGCATAAAATGTATAACTTAAAATAGGACCTGAGGTGATTTTATTTAACTTGAACATGAATAAATATACTCTAAGTTTTATTTGTGATGGATTTCTTTTAAATTATATGGGAGAAACAAATCTATCATTACAATGAATTAGAGTCAAATAACCATCTCCTGATTCTAAATATTAGGTTGTACATTACTATCTGTACAGTGGTATTGTGTCCTGCTGATGGACATTCAACTCATCAGTTTCCTCAAAAACAGTATTGTTATCTACTAATATTAGCTGGAATACAGTCCAAGAACAGAGTCACAGGAAGTAGGAAGAGACTGGGACACACTAGGCTTGGCTTGAGCTTCTGAGACCTCAAAGTCTATCCTCAGTGACAGACTTCCTCCAACTATGCCACACCTATTTCAACAAGGCCGCACTTCCCAATAATGCCACTCCCTCTGAGCCATGGGGCCATTTTCATTCAAACTACCACAATGAAACAATTATCTACTAGTGTCACTGATTAAATATCAGTACCAGTTCTTGGCATCTTCCTCTACTCTCTTCTCTATGACCTTGCAATCTCTGCAACTAGAGATGAAATGTATATCCCATTTTAACCTGGGATTTGGCCACATAAACTATATTCACTTAAATACATATATATAGGGGCTGAAGAGGTGGCTCAGTGGTTAAGAACACTGACTGTTTTTCCAGGATGGGGTTCAATTCCCAGCACCCACATGGCAGCTCACAACTGTTTGTAACTTGAGTTCCAGGTTATACAACTCCCTCACACAGACAACCATACAAGCCAAACACCAATGCACATTAAAAAAAAAAATGTGCTGAGTGAAAATTTCCAAACAGACAATAGCCTGAAGCAGATATCAGTGCTCTGCTTTGAAAAGAAGTCCCATGAGTAGCTAGAACCTACAACATGGACAGTAGAAAGAAAGCTATTAAATAAAAATGGATCTGACCTCTATCTAACAGCAAAGTTCACCCAGATCTACAGCATGAAGAAGAGCCATACAGGCAAGCCTACCCTGAGCCAACCAACCTAATCCAAAATAAGCACACACTTGGTTGACATACATATGTACAAACAAAACACTCATTCACATAAGAGAAACATAAATCTTAAAAAATAATAAGATAACCTGATCTATGAATTAGGGAAAACATGGATTCCATTTTAAAGATTTTTTTTAAGAAAAATAATTTCTAAAGGCCAGGTATGTGACTCAGTTAAGAGAGTCTTACTGCATCTTGTTATGAAATGTTCTGTTAATATCACTGGGAAGAACAGTGGATTTGGGGGAGGTGGAGGGGAATAGGGAGAGGAAGGGAAGGAGGGAAGGCTGCTGTTGGGAGGTATTTTATGAGAGAAGAAAAAAGAGAAAAAGAAATAAGACAATTAAAAAAAAAGAAAAACGTAAAAGAAAGTTCATTAATGCCCCCAAAAGCATGAGAACACCCAGAGCCTCACTGGCTAGGCAAATTAGCCAAATTGATGAGCTACAGGTTTATTGAGAGCTCCAGACTCAAAAACTAAAGGCAGGGAGCAATCGAGAAAAGAGATCCAATGTTGGCCCTGAGCTTCAGACACACAAGCACACATAAATAGTAATTGTAACTAATGCTTTGGGGAAAACTTCAAAATAGGGTCATAAATATCCTCTGGAATCACTATATCATTAACCTTCCATGAGATTGAGAGTTTGCAAAATGCCAACTTAATAGTAAAGAACTATTCCAACCATGTTAGATAACCACCAAGTATCAATTGTAAGCAAAGCAGGACCTAGAAAAGAAAAACACGTCAGTCCTCTGAAAGAGTTGAAAATCTAAACAAGAGAGAAAGAGGGTTCAGACACAGCAAGCCTACTAATGAACCCTGAAATCTCAACAATGGTATCTACTCTGCTTTTATCTTTACTTGACTCATTCTTTCTGGCAGAATTTTGCCAATGAAATCTCATCCAGTGCCTCAGCCCCACTGGAATGTACCCCAATCAGTGGTTTGAATAGAAGCTTAAAATGTAACATATTATTTATAAAAGCTCTGCTGTGATCATGTTTTCCTGTTCAGTTTAAGAGCTATTTAGCTGGGCGGTGGTGGCGCACGCCTTTAATCCCAGCACTCGGGAGGTAGAGCCAGGCGGATCTCTGTGAGTTCGAGGCCAGCCTGGGCTACCAAGTGAGTCCCAGGAAAGGCGCAAAGCTACACAGAGAAACCCTGTCTCGAAAAACCAAAAAAAAAAAAAAAAAAAAAAAAAAAAAAAAAAAAAAAAAAAGAGCTATTTAGTAATATTTAGTGATACGTAGGTTTAATAAAATAAAATTCACAGCCATTTCAACAGTGTTTGTGGGATATTGGGCTAGGCACAAGAAAAAAAATGTGATTCAATAACCCACAAAAACAAACACACTCATCTCAGATAGTATTACAGATTTGGCATGCTTCAGAAAAATTACAATTAAAATAGAAATATACATTTGAAGATAAGGGAAAATCTAAAATAATGCCTACATTACCAGTTAAGGAAGATGATGATTTTGTTGTTGTTTTAAATGTTAGCATTTAACAAACCTCCCTGGATGGCTTTAAGCCTCCAGGACACAGGCAGCTCCCACACTCTTAATCTTCTGTTCAGCTCTTCTGCTGAAGAATTTGACCTTCGTGATGACAGGCTGCTTAGGGAGTTTTTGCTTCCCCAGAACTTTGTAGTAGCCTGATGGAACACCAATGATGGCAGCTCCAGTCTTATTTTGTGTTTTGTTTGTTTGTATTCAGCTTTAACCCGTGTCCGTGTCTGCTCACTGACCAATGCTCACTGTAGACAAATTTCTAATGGTCTTAATAAATAAAAAACATGGAGCCAGAAATTTGGGTTAAAGCCCGAGAGAAAGATCAGAGGAATAGGACAAACCACGAGCTAACCTCACCTCACCACGAGCTAACCTCACCTCACCAACTCTGCAGCTTCCAAAGAGAGCTTCTTCCTGTATACTCACGTTTATATGCCTTTTCTGTTCTGTTCTCTCATTGACTCTCTGAGCCCAGCTACATTACTTCCTCTTCCTACACAACTCTGTCACTTTCTGTCTGTCTGTACAGACCTCCAGGCCTCTATGGTTGGTACTGGGATTAAAGGCAGGTGTCACCATGCTTGGCCTTGTTCCCTAGTGTGGCCTTGAACACACACACAGATCCTGCCTGCTAAGTGATAGGATTAAGGGCGTGTGCTATTGCTACCTGACTTCTTTGTTTACTTATAATGGCTGGCCTTTTTCCTCTGATCTCCAGACAAGCTTTATTTATTAAAGCACAAATAAAATATCACCACATTTCAGCACAAATAAAGTAACACCACAGCCCATGATTTATCTAGGTTTACAATTGGCCAGAAGCTCTTATTTCTCTTTAAGTGGTAATGTCATATCAACTTGCCCAAAGCAACCTGTATATTTCTTGTCTAAGTTGATCCCTTGGTGACGAAAGTCTCCCACATTACCACAGCATCATGGTTTCTTGTGGTGCTTACCCTGGAGTTGCCAGATCTTCCTCAGTCTGGATGACATGGCACCAGCCAAAAGGTGAAGATGATGTTTTTATACACTGAAACCTGATAAACATTAAGTCAAATCAGTCTTACCAGTCTATGGACCAATATCTGTAAGTTTCAGCAATTTCAATTAAAATAAATTGCTAATCATGGAGAGCACTGACTGTATTCGACGCTCTTTTACAGACTTGTTATTTAGTTACCTAAGCTAACAGAAGCAATGTATCTATTAATTATAATGTACAGTAGTGATCTGTGAACAAAAGTTAGACCTTAACCACTACCATGTAAACTGGAGATCAAATGAAGCAAAGTGCATGCCTTTATGTTTGCACAGTGTAGGTTTGTCTGCAAAATGCTCAGTTAGATGCTTGACAGTCTTGATGGGTGCTTTATTGAATGGATCATTGTGAAAATGCAACTTGGCCTTTAGATGACCATTTGTGGGCTCCCCCCAATCAAAATCACATTGCTTTTAATAGAGCTTGGAACTAACAGAGTTTCTAAAGGATTCATTGAAACCTTCCTATTACTTATCTCTATAAATAACAGTGTTTATAACAGCTCTCTCTAAGCTGTTCTCTCATTTTCTTGTCTAATAATATGACATCTGACATTTTTATTGAAAAGAAAAATGACCAAGAATTAATCTAAAGTAAACTACCAGTTCTGGAACAACTTTGCAAATACATACTAATATATAACTATTTCTTAATCACATCTCACTATATAATACCTATTTTGAACACAGAATAAATAAAACTTGGCTCCAAAGTATTTCTCAAGTATTTTTATTATAAATTCCACTTAAAGAAGTTTTTATTTCTCCACATGATATCAGAGTTACTTATTCTAACTTTGTTAATACAGAAAACAGCAGATAAAATTATAGCTTTTACCAATTAAACTTTAAACAATATAACTATATTCAAAGATGCAAAACCTACAATAGCATTTATAATAACCACCTACAACAATATAACCAACAGAGCTTTATGCCTATAAGTAAAGCATAAATCATTACATAAGGTCTCAGACCACAAGAAGAAAACCAGCACATGCAACTCTTCCTGTAGACAGTTTATTTTCTTCATATGCCATTATACTCTCCTTTCTGTTGCTGTTATTAAACAGTAGATATGCTAGAGCAATTTGGAGAGGAAAAGTTTGACTTATACTTCTAAATCTGAATCCATCATTTAGTGAAGTTAGGCAGAAACTTAAGGCAGGAACCTGGAGCAGAAGCCGTGGAAGAACTCTTCTTTCAGTTTACCCCCGACTCACTCAACAGCTCATGTTTAGCTAGCCTTTGTGTATAGTATACTGCCCACAGTGACTTGCCTTTTCCATCAATTAATAAACAAGACAATTATCCTATATATATATGATCTATGTAACTCCTCTACCAAGGCTTTCCTTTCTTATGATGCTAGCCTGTATCAACTTGACAATTAATGCTAACTAGAATATAAGCCTATGTAAATTTAAGATTGATCTATTCATTTGTCCAGAATATCGGCCAAGTTTCATTTTTTAATTATATGCATGGGTACAAGAGGCTTCCTTTGTAAAGCAATGCTAATCTATTTATTTGTGTCTTTTTCATATGACATGGGAGTCATGACTGTTCAGGTGGTATTAAAGTTTATAATGGTCACTGAACTGTGATTTCACCAGTAATTAATAAAATATTGAATCTAAACTCAGAAAAATAATTGAACAGGAGGTTCAGTGTTAAAAGATTTCTTAAACAACATTAAAATGAACCCATAATTCATATGTATTACAAGGTCAAACAAACAAATCCAGAAACATCTTTCACCATTGGCAGTTTTCTGATCTTTTCTGGTAACCCTGTCAGACATTCTTCACCAGGCAGTTTGTCCTCCTTCTCTAACTTATGTTACCCCCTTCTTGATTTCTCACCCTGTCCTCAGATGCTTACTGATCTGTCTACATCCCCTTTCCTAATATTGCATCACACAAGGTCTGGGAACTGAATTTGAAAGGCTCAACCTACTTCAGGAAATGGGTTGGAGAAGTATGACAAATCTTCATAATTTCTTTCCAGTCTCCATCTGCACCCCTCGAGTATAGCTGCAATTTTAAGAACACTTGGTCAGGGTGGCCTGCACCCAGAGGACACAACATAATTACATCACTATATTTTAACTACCTGAGCCGATCAGCTACGTCATTATATTAATGTCATATTAGAAACAATTGTGTTCAATATTAAATTAAATATTAAGATTATTCCAGAGTAATAGTTTTTGCTCTTGCAACCTACATTTGGCTTTTTGAATTTTGCCTTTCAAATAAGAAGTAATACTGAATTTCTATAGTCTTAATTTATATGAAAATCTATATTCCAGTTATATAAATTCATATAGCAATTATAATTAAGGGAGTGAAAATAATAAATATGTATAAAGGATAAATAAGAGTATGAAGGGAAAATATACCCAGAGAAACTACTTTAAAATCAAATTCTAGAGAATATTTTAAGGGAAAAATAGAGTGGATTAAAATTATAGTTGATAGTGAAAATTGATGCCCCTGGAATAAAGTGGAGAAACTGAATATTTATAAAGTAATTACAAATAATTAATTTTATTTAAAAGACATCATTAGGAAGTTCTTACAGCATTATAATAGTCTCATAAGTAGCATAGGTGAATGGATCATTGCTTGCAAAGTTAATCCACACTGCATAAGATGCATCTCTGGCACAAAAATTGTGAAATACCGTGGCTTTCCTGAAGCCTTCACAGCTTCTTCGTTTATTTTATCTTCTACTTCTGAAGTAAATATTTTCAAGTAAAATAACCAACCATTGTCTTCTTTTGTCTGGGTCTGTCTTTGGTTTGTTTTTAAGAATAGAGGGAAAATTTACTGGTCATCAAATCTGTATCTCGAGTGGAGAAAAAAAAAATGGCTTTTTACTGCCTGTGCTTTGGACTCTTACTTTGGAATAGTGTTAATATTAAACTTTAGTGTTTTCTTATAAAGACAGTTTAGTAAATGATGTAATCACCTGTTAAGCAAATATAAAGTATAAAAGAATATGCATCTACCCAATCAGCTCATAACACTGTGTTGGGCTCTTATTAAAATTTTATTGAATACATATACAGAAAACTAAATATTGAAAATTTCAATTAAAAAAAAAGCTATTGATTAGGGGACCTTGGAATGGCTTATGGATAAGAACACTTGCTGTCTGTTGTGGCTTGAATGTGAAGTGTCCCCCAAAGGCTCCTGTGTTTGAACACCTGGTCCCAGGCTGGCAACATGGTTTGGGAAGATTGTGGAGACTTCAGGAGGTGGAGCTTTGGAGAGAGAGTATGTCAATGGAGGTGAACTTGGAGGTTTTCCAGCCCAATCCCACCTCCTGGTGGCTCTTGGCTTGGGAAAGCAATGTCAAGAGCTGATCTCACACTCCTACCACCATGCTTCCTCTGCCATGGAACTGTGTCTGTCTAGAAAGACTGCAAGCCCAAACGAAGCCTTTCTTCCTTTAATTGGTTTTTTTTTCCCCCTTTGGAAGTATTTTATAATCACAGAACCAGAAAGGAATTAGTATTCTGCCAAAGCTTGTGCCTCAGTTCCACCTCCCAAACTTGAATGGTCGAGGGAAAGAACCAATTCCTGCATATTGTCTCTAATCTCTACACACATGCTATGACACAGGTAGTCCAAACACACCCACACACACACACACACACACACACACACACACACACACACACACACACACCATACCACATACACAATAAATGAATGTAGAAAGCTTTAAAAACAGATGTGGTTTATTTGTTCATATCTATCAGATTACCTCAAGCAATTACCTTTACTGTTTTTGCTAGAAATAATAATTTATTTACTTTAATAGTCATAATTTTATAACTATTTGTGATTTATTTACCGTACAACTTATTTCTGCTTACAGTAATTTACTTATTGGTGTATTGATCACTTCTGTGTGCAGATTCCCTTTTCACAGGGCCAAGTGCTCCTGTGGAGCTGGAGGATAGCCTGCAGGAGCAAGTTCCCCACTCCTGCAGTGTCGCTCTGGGGAACCAAGCTCAGCCTTGGCCACAGATGCCCTTACCTGGTAAGGCATCTCACTGGTTCCAAATTTCTCATTCTTAGAAGAAAACAAAATGAGTAGAAAACAAGTCATCATTATTACTTTAAAATAAGTGAAATGTGTTTTATTTTTTTCAGCGATTTCTATTATCATTTTCATCTAACTTTACAGATATTTTGAACTTAAATGAATGATTTCCACACAGTTCATTGTACTTCTGAGGAGTAAAGCATAAGCACAATCCAGGAATGTCTGTGGAATCCAAGCTGTAGACCTCTTTCAATTGTGCATTTATTTACCCTGCATACATATATTCACATCCACAAAACACTTAAGCAGCTCATGATGATTGAAAGAATCACTAACATATGTAAATTAGAATGTTGCTTTGCCTATAGCAAATATCAATCAATCTTACCTAGTATTAGTTTTCATTATCATTTAAAATAATGCAATTGTTAAAGAAAAATGAAAAACACTAAATGTGTAGATAAAATCTGAATGTTTGACTAGATTTCTCAGCTGGTAAACAAAGAAGAACTATTACTGCATTTTCTGATTTTATTAAATTCCACTTAGGGACAGGAATCTTACTTTGGAGGAATCATATTTGTGTCAAAAAAACTTTTAAGATTTTAATTTTTTGTTTTTTTACAGGAAGAATTCAATATAAATTTAGATGTATCATGAAAGATATTTAGGTAAAAATAATATGATACATCTTGAAATTGATATTTTAATACATTTTTTTCTTGGGCATTTTGAAATGAAGAAGAACACAAAAGAAATACATGACATGTTGCTTAAACAGTCATTTCAAAATATAATTAATCCTTTCTTTAATTTTCTTTTGAATAATAACTCCCTCATAAATAAAAATGTTGAAACTTCTGAATTCTTCTGCTATTTTGCCCTAGTAAGAATGAAACACTATTATGAAGTTCATCTGTATCTATTTAATATTTTAAGAGTTTTATTGTCTGTAGTTATATGTAAATATTTCCATGCCACTTAAGTTGCATGTTTTGGTAGATAAGGATTTTTGCATTTGATCTTGAATATAATGCTGTGACCTTTGCTATTTTCCTTTTAACTAGTGAGCTAATTTTAACAAGGAAAGGTTTTGATTTTTTTTTTTAATCTGTTTTTTTCTTGAGTCACTTTATAATTGTATTTCTACAGGGAACTATCTCTCAGAAGAGATCAATTCCATTATGTCTGTTGAGAATTCCTTTTTTTTTATGTACTTGGTGGTCATTGAGTTTCAAATCTTTTATTGTGGACTTATAAAGAATGTATACTTAGCATTTGTTGAGTTCAAGGTAAATACAATTTATTACATTTTTGCAAATTTTCTCCAACACGTAGTCATACTTGATGCTGGTGCTCTTTTTTTTTTTTGACCTTGTTACCTCCAATTGAATTATTTCATTCACACATGATTATTAGCCAACATGTCTGCATACCAAGTATTATGTAAACCTGACATTTTCGCTGTTTTATTTTGGATGTTACAGATAAATAGATGATTATAGGTCATTGCACAATTTACCTCACTATATGTTCATCCATAAGTGTGTGGAGAGGTCTTAATACTATTTTTTTTGTCTCTTACTCATGTGTGAGGAACATTCTGTATATATTATTTTAGCCTATCACATTTAGCTAACAGCCTGTCGGTCTATTCTGAGTACCACTAATTCTACCAATGAGAACAATTAGGTAGTTTAATGCTGGTTATCATGCTATCATTCTCACCAGTGAAATCTCTAACATTCATTGGATAATGAAAAACGTCTGTATCATTAATAGCAGAGGAAGGTAATTGGGTGAATTTTAGATGTCACTGCTGGTGGTTGTGTTCTACATCCAATACTTGAGTATGAATTTCTGATATAAATACTGACTGTAGACCACTGGATTTATATTATGATGAAAACACCCATTTATATTAACCACTATGTTGACATAATTTAATATCTATGATAAATTACATGTTTCAAAATAAATTTTATATTTTAAATCATTGATAGAATTTCAATGTGATCTTATTGAAGTTTCCTTTTTCAAAAGTAGACTATCTTTCAGAATAGTTTTATTTTCATAGCAAAATTAGCAGAAAGGAACTGTTTCTTCATATACCTCTCAAGTTTAGCCTTATTACCAAAATTGACAGTGTGACACATTTATTTTAAAGCAGAGCCCACATTGATGCAGGAGTGTCCTCAGTCCATAGTTTTTAAGTTGGGGCTCATTTTTGGTGTTATGCATTCTATGGATTTGGAAATTGATCTATAATGTTTTAACAAAAGAATATTTGATGGATGCTGCTGGCTGATTTGTCCCTTTTTCCTTGTAACTTTTTCAGGATCTCTGATGCATATTTTAAGGTTATTTGATTAGCCATGGGTAAGTTATTTTTATATTAGCTATATGAATTGTTATTTTAAGTGATTTACAATGCCTTTTCTCCTTCTGATAATATTTTGGCCTTAAATCCTGTATTACTCAATATTACTTATATAAAAGTAACATTATCTGGCCAGGGTATTCTCTTAACAGTTTTAAACTGTTTTGTGTATATGTGTATGTCATGTACACACACACACACACACACACACACACACACACACACACACACTACACACAAGAACCTGTTTATTGTTTGTTTGTGTTTTGTTCTTTAAATCAAGGTCTTTACATATATTTTGATCAGTAATACAAGATTATTTTCAACACACTTTAGTTGTGGTTTTTGCTTGTACTGATTTTTATTTGTTTCTTTCCACATGTTTATCCTTCCTGATATCTTGACAGTAATAGTTTTCTCTTCTTCTGCCTTTAGTTTTCTTCAGCAACTATGCCAGTTACAGACTGCATTATCATTCACTAGCTTAGTGCCTCCTTAATTTCCCATCAAAATCACTATCGTCCATAAGTATTAATAATTTGGCCAGTCTTAAGGCTATCATTTATGTCCTTCAAGCATTTAAAACACGGGGTA